CTGTCACTCCGCAGCGCTGTTACAATTCCATTGACTATATCCCCTATGCTGTGCCTTTCATCCTTGTGACTTACTCATTCCCTAACTGGAAACCCGTGCCCCCCACTCTCCCTCACTCCCCTTCACCCACCTCTCCTGTCTTCCCACCCTCTCCCCTCCGGCAAACCATCAGTTTGTTCTCTGTTTTTATAGGTCTGATTCTGCTTTTGGTTTGTTTGTTTGTTCATTTGCTTTGTGTGGGGTGTTGGTTTTTATCATATATAAATATAAAGCAAACTTTAACATATTAATGAACCCCATCTGTGTAATTAGATTGCATAGTAATTACGCATAAAAGGTAACAACCAACTTGTAAGGTTTTCCTGCTCTCGGTTTCTTTGAAGTCCTTTGGGATCTGTGGGCAGCCCCATGTGCACGGTCCATGCTGTGTACCATAGAGTCATCATCATTACCACAAAGAACTCAAATGTCATGGCAAGAGTGTTGGAAGACTTGTTTCTGGTCCTGGCTCTGCCACTAAACACCGTGTGGCCTTGACGGCATCATTTTCACCCCCTCTCTCTGGCCTTCAGTTTCCCCATCTACAAAGTCTACTCCATGAACATTCCATATTTCACAAGACTATCATGATGAGCCCAGATGCGGAGCACACATTTTACAAACCACAAAGCAAGTACAGAACCACAGACGCTTTTTTGAGTCAGGAAGTTGGCAAATGTTAATACATTCATTTTCCAGAAGGGAAACGGAGGCAGAGTCCAAAGTGGGCTTCAAGGCTCATGGTTTCTGGCTACAAGCCAGCCCTCTGCCTGGGGCCTCCAAAGCCACACACGTTAGGCCCGGAGAGCCTGGGGCGAGAGTTGGGGTCCAGCGCCCCTAAGGAGGCGAGGAAAGAACTGGACAAAGGGGAAAGCCTGGCCGAGAGAACGGGGAGCGGAGTCCGGGCGGGGGGGTCCAGCAGGGAGAGTGGGTAAGGAGCAGCTCGCCGCCCTCCGCCCTCCGCAGATGTCAGCGCTAGAACCCCACTGGTGTTGCCCTGAGTCTCTCCAGTCTCTGTCCTCAAGAAGTGGAATGACACAGGCGCCACAGGGGCCCAGCTGGAAGGTCTCTCGGACAGACACAGGAGGCCAGGCCCATCCCCGGCTAGTGCCAAGGGTACAGGGAACAGCAGCAGGCTGGGGCTTGCCGGTGTAAGGACCGGAACGTGTCGGGGGTGTGCGCGAGCGCGTGCGCATGCGTGGAAGGGGGCGGGGCGGAGGCGGGGGACAAGGCTTCGGAGTTGCAGTCTACAGGATGGGCCGAGTTGGCGTTGCCTCTATGGACAGACCCCTTCCTGCCCAGGGCAGCCCGGTGGCCCCGCTGGGTATTCGGACAAGAGCTGAATTAAAGACAACCTCCCCGTGTAGTTTGAAGCTTCTAATTGCCGCGTTTGTACCTCCCTGAGTGTAAAGGCTCAGGCCACCTCCCTGGGCTCGGCACTGCCCAGGGCTAGCTCCGCTCTGGGGGAGTAAGAGGAAACGTCCAGCGCTGCGGCTGCCCCTCAGGCCTGATTTTGTACGTTCAGAAGCCACTTGTTCACGATGGAACTCAAAGCAGGTTTAACGTTTACTACAGTAAAAAGTCTGTCTAATAAAACATGCATGATGAGAAAACACTCCTTTGCAGGAGCCTGTGGACTGCGGCTTGCAAGGCCCCTGGTGTAGTGAGCAGCGGCATATGGACTTCGGGGTCAGACATGGCGGTGGAGCCGGTCCTCTCCACTCGCCATCCGGCGCCTTGTCTGTTTCCTGGGGATAATAATAATAATACCTCCCTTTAGGATTCTTACGAGGATTAGCTAACTCATACCAACACCTACTTATTTATTTACCCTATAATTCAACATATGCTTACTGAGGGCCTGCTATGTGGTGGCACTGTGCTTATTAGTGGTGAAGAGCTCAGGTCTTTCATTTTAGAGATTCACCACCATGGAGCTTCTGCTCAATAGGATATTTCAAGAAAAGAAAGAACGAATGAAAGAAAGAAAGAGAGAAAGAAAGAAAAAAAAGGGAGGGAGGGAGGAAGGAGAAGGAAAGGAAGAAAGGAAGGAAGGAAGGTGAGAGAGGGAAGGTAGGGAGGAAGGAAGGAAGAGAGAAAGAAAAAAGAAAGGAGAAAGAAAAAGAAAGGAAGGGAAAGAAAGAAAAGGGAGGGAGGGAGGAAGGAAAAGGAAAGGAAGAAAGGAAGGAAGGAAGGAGCGAGAGGGAAGGGGGAAGGAAGGAAGAAAGAAAAAGGAAAGAGCGAGCGAGCGAGCTCAGGCTTTAGAAAAAGAAAAGGAGGGAGATGGATGGGCATTTGGCTTTGCCTGTGTAACCTTAGTTAGGTCACCTAACCCCCTACACCTCTGTTTTCTCATCTGCGAGATGAAGATGACAACAACAACTCTACCTGGCCATGTTATTGTGAGCTTTAAATGAGATGATATACGATGGTGCTTAGCATCTGGCACAGAGTAAGTGCTGGATGAACTTAGCTATATTGATTAGTACATTGGAACTGCTCAATAAATCATAGACCATAGATTTTGTAACTAGGACTCTAAAATATAGTCACTATACCTTCCAATGACAAAGGAAAACAGATTTTTTTAAAATGTGCCCTTGGGATCATGTGTATCAGGAAAGCATGAAGGGAGCTTGCTAGAAATTCAGATTCCTTGGGCCCATTTCAGAAGTGCTGAATCAGCATCCAATGGGGCCTGAAAGTCTGCCTTTTCACAAACATCTGAAGTGCACTGAAATTTGAAAATTCCTGGGGGTAAAAGGTAAAAATGCTCCTCCACTGAGGGGCCTTCTATGTGGTGGGCAGAATAATGGCCCCCCCCCCCCAAAGATGTCCATGTTCTAATCCCTGGAACCTGTGAATGTGTTAGGGTTATAAGGGGGAATTCAGGTTCTAATTAGTGAACTTTAAAATAAGGAGATTATCTGCCCAATGTAATCTATGTATCCTTAAATGGAGTAGAGGGAGACAGAAGAGTCAGATCCATTGGAATGGCAATGTGAGGAAGACTCCATTGGCTTTGAAGATGAAGGAAGAAGGGCCACAAGCCCAGGAATGTGGGCAGCCTCTAGAAACTGGAGAAGACAAGAAAACAGATTCTCACCTAGAACCTCCAGAAGGAACACAGCCCTGCTTGATTTTAGCCCATGAGACCCATTCTGGACCTCTGACCTCTAGAACCATGATACATTTGTGCTGTTTTAAGCCACTAAGTTTGTGGTGATTGTTGCAGCAGCAACAGGAAAGGAGTATGTCCTCTTCAGGCACATTGGATTCATGCCACTGGATCTGGAAGACCCGTGAGCCCCAGCCATGAGTGAGGGTGGGAGCCTTGACTGAGGGGAGCCACAAGGGAAGGGGACCAGTTGCACAGTTCTGGGCTGTCCTTGTGGCTTTGCTGACACACACACACACACACACACACACACACACACACACACACACACA